TCCCAGAATACCCCAGCTGGGGAATTCTGGGAGTTGAAGTCCGCACGTCTTAAAGTTGCCAAGTTTGAGAAGCACTGATCTAGGAGGTCCCTTGCCCCTTTCCAAGTGAATAATTTCATCGGCATGCACTAAGACTGAAACCTGAATTGGTCTTCCTGTAGTAAGAATATGGTAAATGAAGGTAACATTCAGGTGAAATTGATGGTCACTCCTTTTCATCCCCAGCTGGATTTAGATGTACAGCAGGGATATAAAAACTCCACAAAATTAGCCACAGAAGAGTATTTGCCCAATTTCTTATCTGCAAAAAATCCAATACCAACTTAGAAAATGCTGTAAGTTAGGAAGAATTAGATCAAATTAGATCAAATCACCAAAATCTGGGGAAGATGCAAGAAGTTGCTTCATTGGATAAGCGGATGTTGAACTCTATGTTAAAAAAAAAAGCAGATTCCTAATACTAAGCAGAAAGGTTCATGAGAAACATTTTTAAACTCTGTCCAGGCAAGTTCAGGAAGGCTCAAAAGTCAGGATAGCAGCAATTGTAGCTTTGCCCACCATCTTGATTTTTTTGACCTCCTCCCTCCCTCGGACGCCCATTTTCAAGGACATTGATTCAAAACTCCTGGATATGAAATTCTGAAAGTTTTCTGAACATTTCTACTTTTCAACATTTGAAAAAAAAATGTCATTAAAGATTTCATTACATTATAGTGGATGACATCACGGTCTAGACCCGCCAACAACTCTATTCACTCACATACCCGTCTGGTGATTTGGAGGAAATTCTTTTAAATCCTTTGGATTTACTAAGCACAATGAATTTCTGCTCAGATCAATTGCATTTGGAATAAAACACTCCTCTTAGAAAATCCCTGCGTATATTTCCCCCAGGAACAGAATACTCACAGAGACAAATCACCCCACACCTTTTCCTCCTTCAAAAACAATTTCGTAATTGTAATCAAAGTTTAAACTAAATTACAGTTCAGGTACCAATAAAATGCTATCAACTGAATAGCCAGCGGCTGGATTCAGTCACACCTGAAGCAAACAATTTCACTTCTACTCTGATGTAATGAAGCCTGGATCCAACCCACTGCCATTCTCTTTGCCCCTGGTCCCAAACCACAAAACTGCCAGAAGTCAATGTAGAATGCAAGGATACAGTGAATGAGTTTTTTTTTTAAAGTGTAAGTTTTGCAGTTACAAAAATAAAATAAAAATCAGGCTACAAGGGTGTTGCCACCTTGCTGATGCAGCAAAGGGCAGAATGTGCAATATTGGCCTTAAAAGAAGCATCGTGAGGTTCTCACGCGGTCAAGTTACTAGTCCTTATCGTTGCTAATTTAGACTCGGGGGGAAAAGATAGGCGAGGCATGCCAATGAAATCTCAGAAGAGTGTCTGGGAGAACCTGCACTGGTCACAGGGTTGGGAAGCCTTTATACTATAGATCTGTGCAAAATGCAGTTGACTGACAAAACTGATCAGAATTAGAAACGGCAGGGTGTCGTCAGAGCAGCAAAAGGTTGGCCCCGGGGGTGCAGGGAGAGCTTCAATCACACCATCACACAGCCACCATCTTGACTTTTTTTGACCATACCCTGAAGACACCTCTGTATCTCATTTTTAACCATGAAATTATGGTTTCATCAAATCTATTTTCAGGCATCAAATCAAAGCTCTGGAAATATCCTAGTTTACTCCTGGTTACTTGGTGGGCGAGTCCTATCCAACGTTGCCAAGACCCAACCATGTCTGGAAACGTGGCATTCTGCTTTCCTGTAGGGATTCCTGTAGAAAACCCCCATGGCTGTACATTTTTGCTTTTTTCAACAGAACAGGATGAAAAATCCCAACTGTTTAGAGCACTGTTTTTCAACCTTGGCAACTTGAAGATGTGTGGACTTCAACTCCCAGAATTCCCCAGCCAGCA